ATTGTCTAGAAACATATACAAGTATTTTTAGGTAGTAGGTTGGTAGACAGCAACCACCCAGGGAAGTACTACCGTCCTGCCAGATGACTGTGAAAGAACCCTGTAAAATGTTTTGCCCTGATGGTAGGATTCCTGGTTTCTTTTTCTGTCTCATAAAAACGCTAGATAAAAAGGGATATCTTGCTACTCCTACTTACACTATGGTCACACTTCACAGACACGCACATGCATTTTTTTTTTTTTTTTTTTTTTTTCAACAAGTCGGTTTGTCTCCCACCCAGGCAGGGTGACCCAAATAGAAAGAAAATCCCAAAAAGAAAACACTTTCATATCATTCAACACTTTCACCACACTCACCCCTTATCACTGCTTTTGCAGAGTGCCAGAATAAAAAGTTTAGAAGCATATACGTATAGAGTACAAACATATCCCTCCAAACTGCCATATCCAAAAACCCCCCCTTTTAAAGTGCAGGATTGTACTTCCCATTCAGGACCTCAAGTCGACTATATGAAATAAACCCGGGTTTTCCTGAATCCCTTCACTAAATATTACCTGCTCACACTCAACAGATCGTAAGGGGCCAAGTATCATTCGTCTCCATTCACTCCTATCTAACACGTCATTTACGTTGCTGGAAAGTCAAAGGCCCTCACCCCAAAACTCCTTTACCCCCTCTTTCCAAACCCTTTCGAGGACGACCCTACCCCTCTTTCCTTCCCTTATAGAAATTTAATGCTTTCCATGTCATTCTACTTTGATCATTTCTATTGATGACAAACCACCCAACAACCCTTTCTGCCTCTGACTAAGTTTTATTTAATAATTCCCTTTTTTTAAGAAGATAATTTTTACAAATTGGTTGCGGGAAACCCATGTAAGTTTGTGCGATTAAACCAGTTACATTTATAAAAAATATATAATATTATTTATAATTAAAATTTTTAAAAGAGAGTAGTAAGGGAGGGAAAAGTTAGCTATGAGAAGTTTTTACAAAGTAGAAGTGAGCAAAGGAGGGAAGGTTTATGGAGAAAAAGAGAGTAGGTTAAGAGAGTGGTGGAATGATAGCAATGTAAAAAGAGAGCAAATGAGGACAGTGGGTGAGATGTTATCAACAAATTTTGTTGAAATAAGAAAAGTTTGGGAGCAGTGAGATTAACAGTTATAGGAAGCCTAGAGGAACAAATGGATTTGTCAGTTAAAAATATGAGAGGAGAGTTATTAAATGGAGAGTTAGAGGTATTGGATGATGGGAGGGAATATTTTGGGATTTGTTGACGTTGATGAAGATTGGGAAAGCTGTGGTTTCGTGTATAGGGCAAGGAGGAATAACATCTGTAGGAGTTGAGGAGAGCCATGTTGGGAGTGGTGGGGAAGTTTGTGAGGCGTAGGTAAAATGAAAGGGGTAAGGCAGCGGGATTTGATGGGATAAAGCTAGAAATGTTAAAAGCAGTTGGGATATAGTTTTGGATGTAGTTGGTGCAATTATTTAATTAAATCTTTAGAAGAGGGTAGCGTACTAGGGATTGCAATCGAGCATGCATAGTTCTTTGATAAAGGCAAAAGGGGACAAAAAAGGAGTGTACAAAAATTAATAGGGGGATAAGTCTGTTGGAGTTGACCTGGTAAAGTGTATGGTAGAGTTAATATTTGAAAGAATTAAGAGTATTCAGAGGAGAATAGGATAGCAGATGAACAAGGAGGGCTATAGGAAAGGTAGGGGGTGTGTGAGACCAGGTTGGTTTACAGTGAACACATTAAGTGAACAATATTTTAGATAGGCTAAAGAGGCCTTTTGTGCATTTTTGATTTGGAAAAGGTTTGTGTATGACGGGTGGATAGGGGGGGAAATGTGGCAGATGTTGCAGGTGGTATGGTGTAGGGAGATAGGTTACTGAAAGCAGTGAGAGTTTTTATCGAGGCTTAGATATGGAGGCTCATATTAGAGTATGTTGGATAGAGGTAAAAAATTATTTCCCAGTAAAAGTAGGCTTAGAAAGGTGCATGTTTTGTCACTTCGTGGTTGTTTAATATATTTATAGATGGGGATTTGTAAGAGAAGTAATTGCGAGGGTCTTGGCAAGAGGCGTGGAGTTTAAAGATAAAGATTCACACATAAAGTGGGAGTTCGTCACAGTTGATCTTTGCTGATGTCACTGTTGCCTCTTGGGTGATTTGAAGAGGAAGTTGCAGAGATTGGTGGATGAATTTGGTTTCTAGGGTGGTGCAAAAGAAGAAAATTAAAAGTGACTACAGGAAAGGTATGGTTATGTGGCTAACAAAAGATTAGGGGCGATGAAAGATAGTATCCGATTGGACGGGAGAGAGTATGGCGGAGGTGAATGTATTCCGATATTTGGGAGTCGGACGTGTCAGCGGGATGGGTCTATGAAAGATGAGGGTGATCATAGAATTGATGAGGGGGAAAGGGGTGAGTTGGTGCACTTAGGAGTCTGTGCGAGTCAATGAACTTTGTCGTGGAGGCAAAGAGGGGAATGTATGATGAGTATAGTTTTACCAACGCTCTGATATGGGTGTGACGATGGGTGATGAATTGTTGCAGCAAGGAGAAGGCTGGTGGCAGTGTAGATGTCATGTCTGAGGGCAATGTGTAGGTGTGAATATTATTGCAGAGATTTGTAGTTTGGAAGTTAGGAGGGGTGGCGGGATTACCAAAAACTGTTGTCAGAGGGATGAGGTAGGGTCTTGTTGAGGTGTTTTCGTCATGTAGAGGAGAAATGGAAGTGAAACAGAGTGATTCAAGAGTGTGAGTGGACAGGAAGGTGGGGTTAGGGGTCAGCTCCTTGGAAAGGTTGGACGGGAGGGGGTAAGAGGTTTGTCCAGTGCGCGGGGTTGGGACTTCAAGCAGCATGGTGAGTGTGTTTGATAGGAGTGAATGGAGACAAATGGTTTTTAATACTTCGATGTGCTGTTTGGAGTGTGGCAAAGTCACATTTATGAAGGGGTTTAGGGAAACGACAGGCCGGACTGGAGTCATGGTGATGGGACAGACAGTGCCCTGCACTCGGAAGAGGGGTGTTAATGTTGCAGTTTAAAAATCTGTAGTGTAAAGCACCCTTCTGGCCAAGACAGTAATTACGTGAATGATGTGAAGTTTTCTTTTTCGGAGCCACCCTGCTTGGTGCGAATCGGCAGTGTGATAATAAAATAAAAAAAAATAATTTATAGGTCCCAGCAATGTTTTTTCGACATGGTGGAGTATGAAAACATCCTTGATGAATTAGATTTTATGACAAGGGCAGATAAGTGACTGCCAGTGACATTTGATGAATGTGCACTGCTGGAGGGATCCTTGCTTTTATGTTGTTACTTTTGCACACAAACTTGTCTTTGTATGTCTGTCTGCAGTCTGTCTATCTGTACATCTATCTGTCTGTTTGTCTGTCTGTTGCCTAGCTCAGATTATCTGTCTGTCTAGTTCAGCTTACTATCTGTCTTCTGTGTTGCCTGGAGCTATACTTTGAAATTTCCTTTTGAAGATTAGGATGTTATGACAATTGTGAGCTACACAAGTGACATTTGACAATGTGCACTGCTGGAGGGGGGGAACCTTGCCTTCATAAGTTTTTACTCTTGCACAAAAAACATTTCTCTGTATGTCTTGTCTGTCAGTCTATCCATCTGCCTGTCTATCTGTCTCGACTTCCTTATCTGTCTGTCTAGGTCTGCTGTCTGTCTTTCTACTGATGTGTGGTGTTTTACCATCTGCTTGTCTCTGTCTCAGGGAAGCGCTGGTTAAACCTGTTGGTTTTTGGTTATGGGCCGTCCAGATTGCTGAGCAAGTGACACTTGCGTCCGTTTATTTTTGTCTGATTACTACAAGCACCTAGGTAGTAGGTTGGTAGACAGCAACCGCCCAGGGAGGTACTTACCGTACTTGGCCAATGTGGAGTGTTAAAACCGAAAGCCTGTAATTGTTTTACATGATGGTAGGATTGCTGGTTGTCCTTCTTCTGTCTCGTAAGCATTGCAAGATTTTCAGGTTGTGGTACTTTTACTTTACACTTAGGTCACACTACACCCCATGTACAAGCATGTATACTACACATACCTCTGAGTTTTCTTCTATTTCTTTCTAGTTTCGTATTCTTGTTTTATTTCCTCATATCTCCATGGGGAAAATTATGGAACAGAATTCTTCCTCCGTAAGCATTGCGTTGGTGTAAGAGGCGACTAAATTGGGGTTGTAGAGAAGTGAATGCCAAGGGGTCTTGGCAAAAGGGTTGTGAGGTTAAAAGATAAAGATCTAACACAAAAGTGAGAGTTGTCTCTGTTGCTTCTTTGTTGGTGACTCCTGTGCTCTTGGGTGATTCGAAGAGAAGTTGCAGTGGTTGGTGGTTGATTTGTAGGGGATGTCAAAGAAGAAATTAAAAGTGTATATAGGAAAGAGTAAGGTGATCAGGGATAAAAGAAAGCTTATGTGTATGTGAAGATTGAATATTCATGACTGGAGGGAGGAGTGTTGGGAGCGGACGGTGAATTGTATTCATTTATTTAGGAGGTGGACGTGTCAGCGGTTATGGGTCTATGAAGGATGAGGTGAATCATAGAATTGATGAGGGGAAAAGGGTGAGTGGTGCACTAATGAGTTTGTGGAGATAAAGAACTTTGTCCGTGGAAGCAAAGAGGGGAATGTATGAGAGTATAGTTATACAAACACTCCTATATGGGTGTGAAGCATAGGTGGTGAATGTTGCAATGAGGAGAAGGCTGGAGGCAGCAGAGATGTCATGTCCGAGGGCAATGTGTGGTGTGAATATAATGCAGAGAATTCACAGTTTGGAAATTAGGAGGAGGTGCAAGATTACCAAAACTATTATCCAGAGGGCTGAGGCCGATATGTTAATAAAAAAATAATAAAAATTAGCGCTTTTCCATCCAACAAAGAAGACACAGTCACTATCAATCAGTCACTAGCAGCATGTCACATTCCATAGAACACTTGCCTTATTCCCATACACATTAAACTGAAGTCTTACCAGTAGATGCTGATGTTTTGCAGTGTGCAAGCAACTCAATGGGTATATCTGTAGGTGGGGCCATATTATACTGTAGGCTGTGAGTAAGATCATAGCTGTAACTGCAAAGAAAGGCATTTTGCATGAATAATTATATTACTTATAATGAAAAATCTGAATAACACACTTATCCTTATCAACAGTATAAACAACAGAAATGTTCATATAACAGAATTTGTAACAGATTTTTGTGTATAAACATGGAAAGTGATGCAGAAACCTACTGCAGCAATGAACACTGACTCAAAACTTTGAGTACAAAACTTTTGATTTAAATTTAACATTGCAGATGACATCAGCTATGTCAATCAATATTAACCTTTCAGGGTCCGTGCCGTAGATCTACAGCTTTACGTTCAGGGTCCAAACCGTAGATCTACGCCATGAGCTCAGTTCATTCTGATAAGCTGTGAGTGGTAAATTTGGGACTAGATATGAGAGAATACATCTATGTGGTATGTGTGCACCACTTAAAACAAATCCTGCAGCACACAGTGTATAATGAGAGAAAAAAACTGAGACCGTGATTTTCGATTAAAACAGCGACTTTCGTATATTTTTTATAGTTGTATTTGCGATTTCTTGGTCTCATTTGATAGAATGGAAGACATATTACAGAAATAGAGATGATTTTGATTGGTTTTAGCACTGAAAATGGCTTGAAACTGAGCTCAAAGTAGCGGAAATGTTAAATTTTTGCCAATGTTCAAGAGTAAACAAATGACCTCACACGTCTAATACACGCCAGCTGGTGGGTCTAATATAAATTTCACAAATGTGGTGATGATATTTATACAATTATTACAATATTGCATAACAGTAAATCTTCTATTTTTTGGTTTGAATAAAAATTCATTATTCAAATAAAAAATAAAAATGGAATTCATTTGTAAAGCCTCAAAACGTAACTAATGAGCAGAGGAAATGTTAGTTTAGCACCAGGAATACCTACATTGTTTACTCTGGATCCTATTTTGAAATTGGAGTATTTTGAACTTTGTGTTAAATTGGCCAAATTACAAATTTCCGATCACTTTATTTTGTAGTTGAAACAGTTGACTTGGTGATTTCTTGTGCTCAATCGATAGAATAGAAGTAATACTAGTGAAATAGCTAAGAATTTGGTCAACTGGAATAATGTAACTGGCCTAAAATGGAAGTTAAAGTCTGCAAAATCGCCAATTTGTAAATATTGCTGACACATCAAAATTCGCGAGAGCATAATTTCGTCAATTTTCCATTAAATTTCATACTTTTTACTTTATTACCTTCAGAAAAAGATTCTCTACCATTTCACAAGAAAAAAAAAAAAAAAAATTGAAAATTCTTGGACCCTGGTGCACACTTTGAAATTTGGCCTCTGGACCCTGAAAGGGTTTAAAAGCAGGCTGGGGAAAATTATGGCCTAGTGTGGAGAATAATTTCGTAGATATTTCCTCAGCTCAGAGCTATGTCCAAGAAACTGTTCAACTGGTAAGAATATTGCCATGTGTGGGCTTTGAAAATAATGCACGAAGAATAAGCAAATGAAAAGTTAAATGATGAGGAAGAAAGAAGTCCAGAGGAAATGTTGGCAGAGTGCAATAACTGTATACAAGAGAAGATAACAGACAAGAATGAAAAGAAGAACCCGCAGAGAAACAGTTCGCATGGCAACAGTGATGTAAACAGTTCCATATTACTGATAAATCTGCAGTTTTTTGAACTGCAGGGTAAAACAGACAAAAGATATATTACAAAATTCCTCAGTACTCTAGTATAACCATCGACTTCAATGCAGGACCCTCAGATATCCATTTCAGCCAATGATCAACACCCTTCCACCTAAGCCCAGTCCACTCCTTTCAAAACAGACATACTCCAGCACCAAGAATTGAAGGCAAGAAATATTATTTATGTAACTTTTGTAGCCATACATACTGTATTAACCCTTTCAGGGTCCATGCCGCAGATCTATGGATTTACGTTGAGGGTCCAAACCATAGATCTATGCCATGAGCTCAGCTCACTCTGATAAGCTGTGAGTGGTAAATTTGGGCCTAGATATGAGAGAATACATCTATGTGGTATGTGTGCACCACATAAAACAAATCCTGCAGCACACAGTATATAATGAGAGAAAAAAACTGAGACCGTGATTTTCGATTAAAACAGCAACTTTGCAGTGTTTTTCCGTATGTTTTTTATAGTTGTATTTGCGATTTCTTGGTCTCATTTGATAGAATGGAAGATATATTACAGAAATAGTGATGATTTTGATTTGACTGGAAATGGCTTGAAACTGAGCTCAAAGTAGCAGAAATGTTAAATTTTTGTTGATGTTCAAGAGAAAACAAACGACCTCACACGTCTAATACACACCAGCTGGTGGGTCTAATATACATTCACAAATGTGGTGATGATATTTATACAATTATTACAATATTGCATAACAGTAAATCTTCTATTTTTTGGTTTGAATAAAAATTCATTATGTGAATAAAAAAATCAAAATGGAATTCATTTGTAAAGCCTCAAAACATAACTAATGAACAGAGGAAATGTTAGTTTAGTGCCAGGAATACCTACATTGTTTATTCTGGACCCTATTTTGAAATTGGAATATTCTAAACTTTGTGTTAAATTGGCCAAATTACCAATTTCCAATCACTTTATTTTGTAGTTGAAACAGTTGACTGGGCGATTTATTGTGCTCAATCGATAGAATAGAAGTAATACTAGTGAAATAGCTAAGAATTTGGTCGACTGGAATAATGTAATTGGCCTAAAATGGGAGTCAAAGATGGCAATATCGCCGATTCGTAAATATCGCTGACACATCAAAATTCGTGAGAGCATAATTTCATAAATTTTCCATCAAATTTCATACTTTTTGTTTTATTACCTTCAGAAAAAGATTCTCTACCATTTCATAAGAAAAAATAACAAATTTTTTTTTTTAAATTCTTGGACCCTGGTGTGCACTTTGAAATTTGGCCTCTGGACCCTGAAAGGGTTAAATGTAGCATATCACTGCATCCACCTACAACTGCACAGTTACAACTTTTTTTTTTTTTTTTACAATTTTAACCCTTTCAGGGTCCAAGGCCCAAATCTGGAGTCACGCACCAGTGTCCAAGAATTTTCAAAAAAAAAAAAATTGTTATTTTTTCTTATGAAATCATAGAGAATCTTTTTGTGAAGGTAATAAAACAAAAAGTACGAAATTTGGTGGAAAATTGACGAAATTATGCTCTCGCGAATTTTGATGTGTCAGCGATATTTACGAATCGGCGATTTTGCCGACTTTGACTCTCATTTTAGGCCAATTACATTATTTCAATCAACCAAATTCTTAGCTATTTCACTAGTATTACTTCCATTCTATCGACTGAGCACAAGAAATCACCAAGTCAACTGTTTCAACTACAAAATAAAGTGATCGGAAATTGTTAATTTGGCCAATTTAACACAAAGTTCAAAATATTCCAATTTCAAAATAGGGTCCAGAATAAACAATGTAGGCATTCCTGGCACTAAACTAACAATTCCTCTGTTCATTAGTTATGTTTTGAGGCTTTACAAATAAATTCCATTTTGATTTTTGATTCACATAATGAATTTTTATTCACACCAAAAAATAGAAGATTTACTGTTATGCAATACTGTAATAATTGTATAAATATCATCACCATATTTGTGAATGTATATTAGACCCACCAGCTGACGTGTATTAGACGTGTGAGGTCGTTTGTTTACTCTTGAATATCGGCAAAAATTTAACATTTCCGCTACTTTGAGCTCAGTTTCAAGCCATTTCCTGTGCTAAAACCAATCAAAATCATCTCTATTTCTGTAATATGTCTTCCATTCTATCAAATGAGACCAAGAAATCGCAAATACAACTATAAAAACATACAAAAAAACACTGCAAAGTTGCTGTTTCAATCGAAAAATCATGATTTCAGTTTTTTTCTCTCATACACAGTGTGCTGCAGGATCTGTTTTATGTGGTGCACACATACCACATAGATGTATTCTCTCATATCTAGGCCCAAATGTACCACTCACAGTTTATCAGAGTGAGCTGAGCTCATGGCGTAGATCTACGGTTTGGACACTCACCGTAAAGCCGTAGATCTACGGGACGGACCCTGAAAGGGTTAAGACCTAAAAGAATTTGTTTGGCATTTTTGGAGGTCTGAGAAACACAGCACTATTTTTCCCATATGTTCTTCAGTTCATTTTAGAAAATTGTTTTGTCTAATATGGACTTGACTTACTTAATTCCTATAGTTTTGGATTGTACATAGCAAGATCACTAACCTGAAGTAGAAGTTAGAAGAGAGATCAATGTTCTGAAAAAGTCGCACATATTTAGGCTCGTCATCATGGGTTTTCCGGGCAGATTCATGGGGGATGTAAATCATAGTTGTGTCTTCAACCTGAACAATTAAAAACAGTATATACATACAATAATTTCCATGTCAGCACTGGTAGATAATAAGTACAAAACTGAAAGTAATTCAACATGTAGTTCACAGAGACTAACAAGATAACCAAATATAGATGCTGTATTTTACTACTAGTCAGGCCCAAACTCGTGGAACTCTGTGTTCATCAAGAACTGCAAGAAACCCCTATCATGCGCTTTTGACATCCTAAGGAGAGGGAGCATGGACACAAGGGTCATCCCACAGCTGCTAGAAACAACAGACACCCCCACTCCACAAAGGGGACAGTAAAGCAAAGAACTACAGACTGATACTGCTAACATCCCATATCATAAAAATCTTTGAAAGGGTTCTAAGAAGCAAAATCACCACTCATCTAGATACCCATCAGTTACACAACCCAGGGCAACATGGGTTTAGAGCAGGTCATTCCTGCCTGTCCCAACTACTGGACCACTATGACAAGGTTTTGGATGCTCTAGAAGACAAACAAAATGCAGATGTAGTATACACAGACTTTACAAAAGCCTTTGACAAGTGTGACCATGATGTAATAGTGTACAAAATGCATGATAAAGAAATAACAGGAAAAGCTGGTAGATGAATCTATAATTTCCTAACAAATAGAACACAAAGAGTAGTAAACAGAGTAAAGTCTGAGGTGGCTAGTGTGAAAAGCTCTGTTCCTCAAGGCACAACACTCACTCCCACCCTGTTCCTCATCCTCATATCTGACATAGATAGTGATGTAAGCCAAAGCACTGTGTCTTCCTTTGTAGATGACACCAGAATTTGCATGACAGTGTCCTCCATTAAAGACACTGCAAGACGCCAGGTGAACATCAACCAAATCTTTAAATGGGCTGCAGAAAACAATATGAAGTTCAATGATGAGAAATTTCAATTACAGTACTTTGATATGGAAAATGCAAGGAAATTAAAACTATATCGAAGTATACAACAATTTTCTAACCACACAACAAGTGAAAAACTAATGTAAAAGACCTGGGGTGATAATGTCAGGGATTCTTTTTCAAAAACCAAAACTTTTGTATAAATCGTTGCTAAAAAATGGACAGGATGGATAATGAAAAACCCTTCAAACGGGGATGCTTGAAAACCCCTGAAGGGGTTACAAATTTTTATGTATATATATATGTATATTTCATTTCATAAATTTTATTTGCTTTTTTTTGCGTAATAGCTAAATGCAAATGTATTCCCTTTATTTTGTTTTGACGTAGCTTATTTGTTAGGATGTACATAATATTTGCTCAGTTCCAGCTTGATTTTCAAACTACTGTAAAATTTCGCGTCGCCGTTTACGCCGGCTTCTGACTTGCTGTCCACGGGGCTATACGTGATCAAGGGGGGGGGTTTTCCTCCCTCTCGTGAAGTTTCATTTTGCTTTTGACTCGCTTTTTGGGGGTTGGACGATTGTCTGTCTCATTTTTTGTTAGTTTCGTGAACTCTGTTCACAGAACATTGTATAAACTTGTGATTTTCGACGTTGTACTGAGTTTTTGTCCCATAGACACTCTGAAAATCTCAGGGCCTTACTATAGCTTTGACCAATTTTGTAGGTTTCTGTGTATTGCACGTCAGGGTTTTTTTTCCCATGCTGAACTTTGTTCAGTAGTAGGGAGTTTTTTTAACTTTTGTGGGGATCGTATGGTCCCTACTTAGTGTCGTTTTATTTCCCTTGATCCTATTGTGTCGCAGTCGCTTGTTATTGGCATTGGGTTAGCATTTTTTTCATTGTTTAAGCAACTGTTTGGTTGCCAGTCGGGCAAGAATTTTTGTTTTTTTTGGGACTTTGTCTCACTTGTTTAAGTCTGTCGAGTGTGAGACATAGTGAATACTTTTGAGCACTTACATACATACACACTTTTTTTTTACATATTTGTAATATCTTTTTTAAAAGTTAATGTACCACAAAGGACTTAAGAATTATAAATGTGTATGTGCTTTCAGCACAATAATATTTAATCGAGAGATGTATTTATTTTGATTCTGTGATTAATTTAATTTTTTTAATTTTTAATATACCTCTAGACAACTTAAAGATTTTAAAAAATTTATTTTAAATTTTAATTTCTCAGTTAGTAGCCCACCTTTGTATCCTGAAGCACTATTTAATAAAATGAATTTTTAAAGGATAATTGGACAAGGAATGATACTTGTTACGAAAACCCGTAACACTGGATGCTAGAAGGGCAGCCTTTCTAGTATTCATGGAGATCTCTAAGCTTTAGAATCGCGTTTTTTTTTTAAAAAATGGGGGGTGTCCGGGGGGCCTTTATCCCAAGGGGTTTGGAGAATTTTTCAGTTTGAAACATAAACCCATGATCAAACACT